TTGATGGCACCTGACAACAACAACAACATTGACTGTAGCTTTCAAACAGCTACTTTTCCCCTTTTTGTGGTGTTTCATAGACTGAAATGTTGCATCTTTACTTTTTTGTTGTTGTTTAGTATTATTGAATTAGTTCCAACTTACAGTGATCTTGTAGAATTTTTGAGGAACAACTGTTTAGTTTGAACCACTAACCTTTTGGTTAGCAGTCTAGTACTTTTCCTATAGTGTCACACCTTGTTATTTATTTATTTATGTTTCATAAATAAAAAGGTTAAACACAAGCATTAACACATCTGTTGAACACAGTGAGTTATAATGAAGTTTTGTGATTCATTCTAATATATATTTATGTGATTTATTTTTCAGGTCACTCAGTGAGACTGCTGGGCCAGAAAAAGGATAATGGAAAACGCTTAGGGGGAGCTCGATTGGATTTGCCAAAGATTAGGAAGAATCCATTGATAGAAATCATTTCCGTCAATACTGGGTAAGCTTCTTTTAAATGTGCTCATATAATACAGTAAAACTTGTGAAACTTGGAAACTGTGTTAGAAGCCTGTAAGAAAATGACAACTTATGTTTTCCACTGTTGGTGTTGTTAGGTGCCATCTGGTTGGTTTTGACTCATATCAAGCCTATCTATGTACAACAGAAAGAAACATGACCCGGTCCTACACCATCCTCATAATTCCTGTTACATTTGAGCCCATTATTGCTGCCACTGTGTCAGTCCATCTTGTTGGGGTCTTCTTCTTTTCACTGACCCTCCCCTTTACCGAGTCTGATGTCCTTCTCCAGGAACTGGTCCATTTTGATAATATGTCTGGAGTCTAAGGGATGAAGTGTCATCATCCTGGCTTCTAAGGAGCATTCTGACTATTGCAACACAGATTTGTTTGTTCTGCTGGCACTCCATGGTACTTTTAATATTCTTCTCCAGCATCATAACTCAAATGTATCAATTCTTTTATGGTCTTCCTTATTCACTGTCCAACTTTCACATACATATGAGGCAATTGAACATATGCTTGCTTGGGTCAGGGACATCTTAGTCCTCAAACTGGTATCTTTGAACACTTTAACGAGGACTTTTGCACAGTTTTGCCTAGTTCAATGTATCATTTGATTTTTTGGTTGCTGCTTGCGTGAGTGTTGACTGTGGATGCAAGCAACATAAAGTCTTTGCCAACTTCTGTCTTTTCTTCTTTTATCATGATGGTATTTACTGATCCAGGTGTGAGGATTTCCCTTTTGTTTACATTGAGGTGCAACCCATGCTGAAGGCTGTGGTCTTTGTTGTTGTTGTTGTATTTTCTGATGTCTTGTTTGATCTTCATTAGTAAATATTTCAGGTCCTATTCACTTTTAGCAAGCAAAGTTGTGGCATCTGCTTATCACAGGTTGTTAGTGAGTATCCCTCCAATCCTGATGCCATGTTTTTATCCAAATTCTCAGTTTATTTGCACAGTATATGGGTTGAGTAAGTGTGGTGAAAGGATACAAACCCTATACATACGTTTCCTGATTTAAAACCATTCAGTATCCCCTTGTTCTCTTCTAACAACTGCCTTTTGGTCTCCATACAAGTTCCTCCTGAGCACAATTATGTGTTCTGGAGTGACTATCCTTTGCAGTGTTAGCCGTAGTTTGTTATAATCCACTCACCTCCATTAGTCCTTAAATCACAGAGCTCCCTACTCATCCTTACTACCACCTCTGATCTCCCACAGATTTTAATTACCCTGTTTCTTTTTCACTTCATCTTCCTTCTCTTTTTAAAAAATGATTTTCCTTCTTTTTTTTTGTATTTTTTTTTTTGTTTGTTTGTTTCTCTCTCCTTTTGTGCTGTTTCCCACTGAGGATAGTATACAGCACGCATTTCTCTCTCCTTCTTGAATGCCGGCCACTTACCTCCAAGCCAATGCCTATCTTTTTTCCTGCACTAGTATAGCTGTGTTGTCACTTTTCTCTAGTCTCATTTCCTTCTGGTTCATTCTTCACACTGCAGCCAAAGGCCAGAGAAAGCTGGAGAAGACATTTAGCTTTTTCTTCTAAGCCCCATGGGATGATATTTAACTGACCGTGAATTTGTCATGGACCAAGATCTAGCTTTCTTGAAGTGCTGAAGATTCAAAACCTGGCCTCATCTAACTCAGAAAGTAGTAATTGAATCAGAATTTATTAACCCTGAGAGGTACAGTTGTCACCTTGACAGGAGTCCCTAACTTATTCCCTCTCTTGAGTGTGAGCAAATTAGAAACTGAAGGCTGTTTGCTGTTCCCTGTCTCCGTTATTTCTTCCCACCCCCCAGATAATGCATTGCTTTTTTTCTCAACTCCCTCAGGTTTTTATTTTTTCACTGCAATCTTCCTTGATTATCCTGTTTAAAATTGAGCATTCCTGATTCCCTCTGCTTTATATTTCCCTGTGGTGCTTATGAGCATTTTATTTTCTTTTTCTCCATGACATAAGTGTGTAAGCTCTACAACAGCAGGAATTTTGACTGTTTTGTTTACTGTGTATCTCCAGAGCACAGAAGAGTGTGTGCAGTAGGGATTTAGTAAATACTTAGTATTGAATGAATGGGTCATTGTGGTATATACTGCTAGTCCCAATGCATTCTCATTACTATGGACCACACTTAATGGCTGGCTGCTTTGCTTTTTGTCTTTGTCCATCTTAGTATTGGTAATATGTATACATACAGTATATGATATACTGATATTTTCATTCTCATGCTCACCTCCAAAGGCAAATAAAGATCAGCTTTATGAAGATACTGATAATGAAGGACAATAATAATGAAAATTAAAAATAAAGAGGTATTCTTACATTAGAACCAACTTCTGATTGAGTTGTTGAAACAGCACCCTCTTGTAAATTGGGCACCACTTGTAATTTGAAAGTTTAACCAGATTATGTTAAGTGATCTTCACATTACAGATTGCCTTACCAATTAGCAAAAAGAAAATACCTGGAATTTACTTTCTATGGTGTATTCCTTGCTCAGCAGTGTCTTTGGAGGGGAAAGTAAAATGTGCCAGTGAATCTCATTTTTGATACATGTAGGAGTAATGACTAACTCCCTTTTGGCCAGTCTCATTCCTTTAGATATTTCTGTCAGAATTTGTTAAACCTTATTACATCAGGATCCATTTGGTCTGTTTAAGGAGTGTTTATGCTACTTTTGATTTACTGAATATCAGTTTAGATATTCATTTTCAAAGATTTCTTTAAAAGTATTTTATTGTGAATTGAATAAGGTTTATAGAGCAGATCAGTTTTCCGTTGAAACATTTTGTTTTATTTCATTGACTGCAATCTCTCCAATGTAATATCATTTATCCCACTTCCTCCCTGTGTTTTCCTGTTTCCATTCTGTCTTCTTTCTAAACCCTTCAGAATTTTGTCCTTGGATAAATGCTGCCCTTTTGATCTTAAATGGTTGATTCTTCTCAGGTGTGCTTATCTCCCTATATATAAGTGTTATTATTCCCCTTACATATCTGTGGATTGCGTGGTTGAAAATTGAGCCACGGGGCTGATTTTGTTTCCAGACATAAAGGTTGACTAAAGGCCATAGTCTCAAAGGTATCTGACCAATAAGCTTGGTTTGTTTAATGATTTTGACTTTTTTCAAAGATGTTTTATTTTCTAGTTCCTGCATTGTTGTTCTGCGGCCTGGAGTCAGTTTCGACTCGTAGCAACCCTCTATCTTGGGTGTTTGAGGCTCTGGATCATCATGGGAGCAGAAAGCCTCTCCTGTTCCTTGTGTGGAGTGGCTGGTGGATTTGCCTCTCCCCACCTCTCACTCCAGTGTTCACCATAATGAATAGTCAAGGTCATTCAAACTCCTGGTGGTTCTGTTCCAGCTCTATGCCCGGTGTGTGTTCTTTCATTTCCAAACATGCCTTACACTCTTCCATCCCCAGTTGTTAATCCTTCTGTATTCAGTCAGATGCCCTTTTCTCTGGGTGAACCCCTTCTGTGCCTCCAGTCTGAACTAAACACGCCCCTCACGCCTCAGTTGTGCGCCCACAGCTCTTTCTGCTTGGACTGGCTATAGCTCTTCTCTGACGATAGGCTGTCTATGTCCCACTAAACCGGAAGCTTCTTGAATGCTGAAAGAGTCCCGTTGATCATTATGTTTTTATTGCCTAATTCATTGTGGAGCACAAAGTGAACCCTCAGTAAATATTTGTCCAATACAAGTTTCATTGAAAACCATTTCTTACTTTTGTTTCCATGCCTTTTTTAGCAGTTTGCTTTAGATTGTCATTTAAAATCATGTCAAGTTGCAAATGTTAAAATGAAATGTTTGAAGCCCATTGGTTATTTGCTGTCACTCCCCCACCTCTCCCATCTGCTCACATTTGACTGTAATATTGGCCCTTAGGAAATGAACTCACAAAGTCCCTGATAGTGAAAACAGTTAATGCTGTCAGGTGCTAAACTAAAGGGTGTTGGTTCACAGCCATCCAGAGATGCCTTTGAAGAAAGGCCTAGTGACCTAATGCTGAAAGACCAGCCATTAAAAACCTTATGAAGGAATGCTGAAGACAGGTGAAACATAGGTAGGAATGCAAGGGTTAAAGGCAATAGAGATGGTGGTGGTGGTAGTTATGTGCTGTGGAGTCAGTTCTGACTCTAGCGACCCTGCATAGGGTTTCTGAGGCTGTAAATCTTTGTGGGAGCAGAAAGCCTCATCTTTCTCCCGTGCAACAGCTGGTAGTTTCAAACTGCCAACCTTGAGGTTAGCAGCCCGACTCACAACCACTACGTTAGAGATAGATACTGTTATATATACAACCCTACAAAAACTGTTCTGCAGATGGATACATGGATAGATACACAGGCTGAATGGGTATGGAAGGAAGAGTGGGAGTATGCCCACCAATAGATAAGGGTTTGGCACAGGATATTTGTATATGGGTATTACATCACCACTGGACCAATAAATAACATCATGTTAAATGGAGAAAAGAATGAAACTGTCAAAGACTTCATTTTTGCTCAGATCATCCAGCAACACTCATGGAAGCAACAGTCAGGAAATCAAGAAATCTGCTGCACAAGACCTCTTTAAAATGTTGAAGAGCAAAGATGTCAGTTTGAGGACTAAGGTGCACCTGACCCAAGCCATGATATTTTCAATAACCTCATATGCATGTGAAAGTTGGACAGTGAATGAGAAAGACCATAGAAGAATTGATGCATTTGAGCTCTGGTGTTGATGGAGATATTAAAAGTACCATGGATTGCTAAAAGAACAAAACAAATCTGTTTAGGAAGAAATACAGCCAGAATGCTCACTGAAAACCAGGATGGCCAGACTTCATCTTCATGCTTTGGACACATTATCAGGAGAGAGCAGTCTCTGGAGGATATCATGTTTGGTAAAGTGGAGGGTTGAGGGAAAAGAAAAGCAACCCCAACGAGATGGATTGGCACAGTGGCAGCAGCAGTGGGTTCAGTGTACCAATTCTG